GGGGGGGGGGGGGGGGGGAATTGTCCCTTTGGGGGTCAGTGGGGTGCTTTACGTGGGACTGAGCTCTGCTCATAAACGGGGAGTTCCCTCCTTTCTCACTGCTCTGAAACCAAGTGGTTGTTGCTGGGTGCACAGCCCCAGGTTGAGCACTGTAGTCATTAACCTGCCCGAGAAAGGAGTGACGGGGTTAATGGCAGCGCTGTAAAGGCTGAGCCCCTGTTAGCTGTTGAAATAAGAAAGTTCTCTTTTCCATGGGTGATTTACTAAAGATTTTAGAGCCCTGAACAGGTCCCCCCTCTGCCCCTCCTGGTCCAGCACCCCCAGGTGGCCCCTCCAGCCTCATCCCCCACCCCCTCCCTGCCCTTCCCATCAAACCGTAAACGGCTTAAATAAAACCTAGAGCCAGCCCCACAGATTTCCAAAGAAAGGCTTTTATCTGTTAGTTGTTGACCGTGAATACACATCTCCTTGCTTCTGCGAGGGCGCGCGCGGATGGACCCGACTGACAGCTGCTACTTACCTCTAACTGACTACTCGCGTTGGAAAAAAAAAAAATTAAGAAATTAGCTTTGCTTTACATGATTTTTTTTTTCTACAGACTTCAATAAAAATGTGACTACAAATAATTACAAAGCCTGCCTTTTTTCTTGAGGCAACTTATAGTGTACAGAGTGGAGAATGTTACAAGAGCACGTCCAGTAAAGACAATACATCAACATAATAATGCGGGATATTTCAGTAAAAATAGAATAAATAAAATAAAAATATTTTAAGCTGTATTTAACAGGTTAATTTAAAATATGGCATTGGACATACAAGGCATAGTGAACGCGGCTGCTGCCTACAGGATCACTAGGTATTATAAAAAAATGCATAGATAACTGAAGGGGCGCCATAACATCAACTGAAAGGGTGGCAGTTGCTCAAACACACGTACCCCAAACATACATTTTTTTTGGCCATGAGAAAAAGAGTGTCTTTATATATCATTTAACAGAGAAGATGAGTGGCTTTGAAATATTGGGCTCTGATTCTGCAAATGCCTGGGTGTATTTTTAACCTTTTGGAGAATAAGGAGCTCTGCTGAAGCAAAAAAGCCCCGTGGGGTCAGACCGTTAAGCAGACTACGTAAATATTTGCAAAATCAACAACATTGTGTTGTTAACAGACAAAAAAAACTCTTAAAAATATATATTGGCAAGCGACGTACGGCTTTGCAAATACCTTTCTGTCTTCTCCTCAGAGACTCTGCCGGTGAGAGGTAACTGGATGATCCTGGCCTTGGCAGCACCGCCACAGGAGAACCTTCACAGCCCTGCTGGGCACCAGGCGCTGCTTTACTTTTAAGACTCTCTAAAGGTCTCTCTCTTGGGGAGGATCAGCATCGTGCAGATGCAACCACAAAACTTAATCGTCCTGTTGTAAAATTCACTGTTGTAGAACAGCTGCAAAAGCCCAAATCCTGGCGTTTCCAGCTGGAACTTTAAAAAGACACTGTCAGAAGTATTTTCTGTAATTGAAAATAAAATAAAGGGAAAGTCTGACTCACTAGCACGATGATAAATAAGGAAACTTTTCTTCTCTTAACCTCACAATCCTACCAAAAGGTACCTCGTTGGCCACCACACGATAGGAAGTGGGTTTTTGGGCTGCTCCTGGCAGAGGTGGCTGGGATCCAGCTGAACTAACCGAGCTGCCATCTCCATGCTCCGAGATCTGGCTCCGTGGGCAGTTTAAACCATGGGTGGTGGCAGAGGGAGCGGGTTGGTTTGCACTCCGAGGCCCCCCATTCTCCTGGCCTGCTTGGCACCAGCAACTCCTCCTCTTGCTCTCCCAAAGGAGCTGGTGCAATGGACGTGACAGGAGCCTTGGGAAGGGAATCACAGTCATAGGCTTGAGATGGGTGGAGGATCAGCTCTTCAGAGGCTGTTCTAGAGACCTACATTTAATTACAACAGCTGCGTAGCCGGCCTTCACCTGACACGAGCTCATACATCAAGCCAAGTGGAGTTTAATGATTCTTCTGCATTTTTAAATGAAGAAATTTCTTGAATCATCATTCTTTTCCCCTTGTTTTCCCAACTCACTTTGCCCAGTTTAACTTCTTTAAACTGTTAACTTCTTTAAACGAGGAAATAAAAAGAAAAATAGTTTGTTTCTAACAGTCTCTTGCATAGGAAAATAAATTCTTTAAACGAGGAAATAAAAAGAAAAATAGTTTGTTTCTAACAGTCTCTTGCATAGGAATAATAGGAATAAATAAAGAGTTCTTGTAATAACAACCTTGACAATGTTCTTTTAAAATTACAGTATGACCAGATTTGCAGTCTTGGGAGACAGTTACAGTTTGGAACATACCCATAAAATGGAGGCAAAACATTTTTAACGCGAATTAAAAATATCTTTACCTTTCCGTTTCCCGAATGCGTACTGATCTGCGGGTCCCAGCAGAAGATGGCAGAGGGAGAGACTTTCAGGCTGCGTCACGGCGCTGGAAAATTAGCCTGAGGTAACGATTTTAAGGGGCAACCCTGGGCTGAGCTCGTCAGGGGCTGCAGTGAGCGGTGCGGAGATCAGAGCAACAGGATGAAGCCTTTGGAGCAGAAGCGCTGAAAGCAGGTTGTACCCCCTGAAGCACTACCCTGGGAAGCAGCTCTCCTCTTACTTTGTCACGAGAGCATGAAAAGAAATTTAAGGGAATTTTGTAAATAACGAAAAACACGATTGTTCTTTTTGTGGCACGTGAAGTTTTCAGCAACAAACTCGAGGGGAAGGGGGACTCGTGCAAACAGACGCCAAATGGACCGTTTGATCAAACACCTGTCTGGGTAAGGTATGCAGCGTTCCAGGCTCTGTAAGCCTTTTAAGATAGTAAAATTAATGACCAGTTCTTTCTTGCTCCTGATTGCTATGAGCCCTGCGTGAAACAAACGGTATTTTAGCTGAATTAATGGCAGATTTAGGAGAATAAATTTAACAGCCAACAGGTGCAATTGTATATTTAAAGCTGAAAAGCTTCAGCGGATCAACCTGCAACTCAACTGCTGAAAACACCTCTGGATTTTTCAGCGTTGGTTTGGTATCAAACACGATTCTTCTCTAGGACCATGATGTACACCCAGGAGATGAAATAATGCCACCATGATTCACAATCACGTCAGGGAGATGCTGAAGTGGTTGCTGGACCAATGCTGACAAACAATTTAAAACTAACAGGTGTAGTTCTGTAAAAAATAAAACTCGGTTATTTTAATCTACAGTAACTCAATGGTAGCTGATCCTTGGAACCTACACTCCAGCGTTGAAAACAGAGCCAAGTGCTGCGGGATTTAAGATTGGTTTGTGACAAATCCAGCTCAAGATGGTGAAACTATCAACTCCGGCATCACTCGCTCCAAGGACTTTAGCAGGAGTTCACTGGGAGGGATGTGGCCATATTCTTTTTTGTTTGTTTTTTTGTGTGTGTGTGAGAGTTTAGGTAACGTTCATGTATTTACAAACAAACAGACCTTCCCTTGCTCATGATGTAACTCACTGACAGCGAAAAAAAATAAATTATTTCATGCTTCTTTTCATATCACACGATGGTGGCGAGAAGGAGAGAACATGCTTGTCTAACATGGTTTCGGTGCGGGGTAGATTCTCTGAAGACCAACAAGCGTCGGCGGTTGGCAAGGGGAGGCCAGGCTCCCTCAGTCCCTGCTCCTCGGTGCAGCTGCTCTCAGCTCCAGCGGAACAACGGGAGAGCCCTCTCCCTCCCGCGGCTACGGCATCTCGGGCACCGGGCGCTTCTGTTTCAAAGTGTCAATGAGGGACAAGACCCCTCTTTTTACGTTGGTGGTCACTCTCCTGGTCACCGAGTCTGCAGGAGGTGGGGGCGGTCGGACTTTCTGGGAAGGAGGTCGGGCCACTAAGCACTTCTGATACCGCAACTGCAACAGAGCAGAGAGAGCCTGCCATCCCCACTGCACCCAGCGCCGGCACAGAGCCACTGAATACACTTTTAATACACTTTAATACACTTCCTCACAAAATATAGACAGCCTTCCATTCTGGCCATGACAAACAGCCCAGCTGAAGTTAATGGGACACTGCTGTGTCAATCAATCTGTTCATTAGCACTAAATTAGATACTAAATCATACGAAGGGCCCTTTGAAAACTGAAAAAAAATCAGTTTTCTGGGTTCAGCTATTCTTCAACGAGGATTCTTTTCACCACATTGTCACAGGGTTGTGCAACACAACTGGGTGCAAAATGCTTTTCCAGCATTAGATAACTTGTGTAGGGACAGAAAGGATTTCTAACTTAAGGCAGGTGTTGCAGAGGTCAGGAGGGAAGAGGATTAAAAGGGGCATCGTTCACTAAATTGACATTTCAAACTTAAAAACGTCTGGCGTTTAATTGATCAAATACATCAGATTCCCAATTGCTAGTTTTATCTGTTTTTGTTTTTTTTCTAATTTCTCTATTGAGACTAATATAATTGCAAATCTGGAAAGAGGATTATTTATGGAGGCAGTGAAAAGCCCAAGTGCTATGAGATGCCTCTGCAGAAGGGCACTTACCATACAGGCAGCCTGAACAGCTTCTGATACGTTGCCAGCGTTTGGTTCGCACCAAAAAACGTGGCACTCAAAATGCTGGTTTCCTGTGTCCATAATGAAGGCGAAGGTGTGGACGTCCTTGCCCACTCCCATGAAGGACAGGAACCGCACACGACACTCCACCAGGATTTCCTCTTCATTCTGGTTGGGAATCAAACGATTGATCATTACTAGTGGATATTCTGTGGCAGGCTGAAGTTTGATTCAAAGGGGGAGAGCGGCTGGTGCAGCGCTGTGGGACTCCTGTCTGTCTGCTCGGGGTGGGATGTCCCCTGCCCAGCTCTCACCAGAAGACCAAGGCTCTGAGTGTGAGCACTGAGCACGTTGTGCATCTCAAGCCCTGCTCGTTTTGTGAAGAAATATATGGCTATTATGACTCCAAAGGATACTGCCCTGTCACTGGCACGTTGGAGATGTTCAGACCTCATCAACAGACATTATTTGAAAGTTTCACCACATTAATCTCTGGAAAATGCTCTACAAAAGAAGAGCGATGCAAAACACAGATTCTACAATCACTCTTGGCTTCCATAGCAAGAATCAAGTAAATACAGTTTAGGATTGCTACTTAGGGCTTAACCTACAACATTTTAAGCCGAAATTTCCTAGAAAGGATAACACCTGATTCCTTTTAAGTATCTAATTAATACTTATAGTAATTTTCATTTTTGAGATCATGCTTGGAATAGTAAATGAAGCTGAAGCTCATATAAGCAAGAGCCTCTGCAGCTTCACAGCCCTGGAAAGAAATAAAAAGCAAGGTAAGCAAATGAGTTCTAGCACAAACGAACTCTTTCTGCTAATGCTTATGTGCTCCTGGCTTTCAACACTCATAGTATGTTAAATGCCTTACTCGTTCATTGATGACTGTGACAGTAGCATCAGCAACATTCATGGTAACTGGCATCCAGTCTTCTTTGCTCGAGGAAGCCATTAGGCTTTCAATGGCACTATTCAGAGTGTCCATTCCTAAAACAGAAGAAAATGTGATAATGAAAAATACATACATAGGTAAACAAGAACAAAACGTTTATTTACACATAGTAGTACAGAAAACAGTTTGGTTTGGTCTCCCTATTAAAAGGAATTTGATGATGGAAGGAAGGGTTGTGAAGCTGGTTTTCTTCAACCGCAGAAACAAAACAGGTGCCTCTGGCTCAGAAAAAACAGGGTTGCATCTCGTTCAGCTGCTGCAGGTCTCTAGGGCCCTTCTCATGAACAGCAGAGCTCAGATTCAAAGAAAGCAGTAGAAACAAACTGCCTTTTTGGCAGCTCCCAAAATACTCTAATCGCAAACCATGTGTTCAAACGAGGCCCTGAATAGTAGGTGCCTTCATGCCTCACCCTTCAAAAATCACACATTTACACTCGGGCAGCAGAGTCCTGCCCTTGGAAGTTTTGCAAGGTACTTTGGATGTCACTTGAGAGTAAGTGTTACATACCCACGGGTTTAGCCACAGGCAGCATGCCCAGGTACTGGACGTGGAACTTCTGCACCAGCTCTGTCTTTGGTGTTGGGAAATCTACTGCATGGGAACAAAAAATCAATTTCTGTTTATCAGCATTCGCAGCAGGGAAAAAACACTTTGATTTCATCAATAACATAAAACAGTTTACCCAGTAATTGTACTCCGAAGGTATTGTATTGATTAAAACAATTTTTCACTCCCTCTGACAAGAAAAATGCTCAATAATTTCTAAAAGAATGAGGGATCAGTTTGCATCACCTAATTCTTGATCTGAGCTAAGAATAAGGTCACATTATATTGCCGTCATATTAAAAACCAGAAGATGTAGATGAATGTGTTTCTGAGACATACAGACCTGAGTTCCACTGCAGAACTATGTAAAATCTGGAGTCTGTTTTTAATACCATCCTTGTTAATATGTTAAACACGGTCTACGAGTAATCAATACTACTGTCTGAGCAGACAATTGCACAGGCTGACGTATGGATTAGGAGTAAGATATTCAGTATCAACTGGTGGATCTAGAAGCGTGTAATTTCTTGTAAAGCTAACACAGAGTATGTTTGTTCTCCCAGAATACTTTCAAAATAGCAACTATTAAGCTACGACTAATAAATACAGGCAAAGGCAACTTTTACCATGCAGTTGAGTGTGCAAAAGACCCTTAAGCTGGATGACAATCCACTTGCACCTCTTGCCTTGGAAGTTGCTAAAATTGATGCTGAGACCTAGGAGGGGTCCTCCTACAGCTCCCCTAAATCCAAGGGATTTACTGGAATATATCCTGGTTTTAAGGAAGATTTGGCCAATTTGTGCACTTTCAAGCCATGAGGTATTTTGATGTGAACAAGACAGTATGTGCAAGTAGCCACAAATATGTAAGACTCCATTTGCAAAATCTGTATTTCAAAATAATAGAGGAAGTGCACAAGTTGGCATAACTGAGCAACTGTCAACACAACCAATGTTAAATGTAACACAGTCAGATACAGAAATTAAAAGAGAGGATTATGGGATTACGCTCTTGGCCTCTCCACCCAACACGCTCCATTTTGGTCAAAAGTAGCATCAGAAACCAAACAAATCTAAAACAGGAGCATCCCAGGGATATTATGTGTAACACACAGTACCTTGCAGAGGAACATCAAGGGTGACATTCGTCCTGTCCTGCAACGAGCTGCAGGCCATAGCTTTAGCGTTCTTCCGTTCGGCCATAATCTGAGAGGACAGTGATAATACAGCCTTTTGTGAAAAAAAAATATACAGTACAGTAGCAACTACAAGTATAAATTTACTCCTATTACAACCCTAGTTTCTGAAATTTGAAATAAGCCAGAAGGTACATGACTAAACAGATTGTTCTTTTTAAATAACAACTTTTAATTTTCCTCCAGTTTATTCACCTGACCTTAACTACACAAAGAACTTAAGTGGTATCCAAGCCTAGATAAAAAATAGATGGAGGAGGGAAAAAAACTCTAGCCATTTTTATCAACAGCAAAATTGCAGTGAGGAGTAATATAACAAGAAATATAAATATTTAGCACACAGAGAAGAGTGTTCATTATTCATGTTCCTTTCTGATCTGTCTTCTGCTGTGTGCAATTTTTTCCTCCATTTTTGTGTTTCTTGGAATTAAAACTCCCATCCAAAATACAACCTGTTCTTCCCCCAAAATGTGTAATACCAGCAAAAGAGGAAAAAAACCAAAAAACGCTTCTAAATAATCACTTGGGATGATTATCCTCTACAAATATATGACTGCGAACAGACCCAGGGAAGGTAACTGAGGTTTTCCAAAGCCCATATATGAAGCATTGCTGTCTGCTTCTTTACGCTATGGCTGTTACTTGTAATTAAGCTATAAAGATCACTGGTGTTTTGGCAGATGACATCTGGTTTGAAGATGCTTCTAGCAAATTTCTACTTTTTTTTTTTTTTCCTGTGGGTTTTAAAGCATGTTCTGTCACAGGGACACATGATAATCTCCCCCCTGCAGCTAAAAAGTGATACACACCAGCTCAGGAAGAGGCCCTGACTCAGCAAAGAGGCTCAGGGTGTCAGCACACACCGAGAGCTTCCCGGAATCAGGATGACATCTATTGCTAAATTCTGAAGGAACATGCTCTACTTAACACCACTATCCTGTTTTATTGTGTGACTGATAGCTAAGCTTTTAAATGCTTAGTTGCTCTCTTATCCAAAATTTGTATCATAGTTACATGTGTGACAGCTCTGCTGCCTTTCTGCTACCCCCATGAACACCTACGGTGGCATTTACTTGATGTTGACCCCACTGGACAAAAGCAGCTGTAGTAGGGCCTGTGTCCCACACTTCTCCCTGCTGGACTCACTGCAAACATCCGTGAGGACTGAGAGCTGGAGGAGAAAGCTGAGGGATATACCAAATCCAGGCTTCTCCAGCCAGCCACTGCTGCAGTCCCCAGCGTCAGACTTCACTGAGCACAGCCTGCAGCTCCCTGGGCAACCCGAGCAGCTCCCTGGGCAACCCGAGCAGCTCCCTGAGCTCTGCCACCTGCATCTCCTCAGGTACCCATGCCTGGACAGACCTGCCAGCCTTTGCACAGTTGCTGGGGGGCCTTCTGCCTCTGCCTTGGGCAAAACTCTGCTGCCCAGAAGGTTCGACTACTACACACTGAGGTTTGTCTGCATGAAACATCACAAGTTCAGTAGCCACAAAAAGGAAAATTTTTTAGACAATACGACTGGCTACAGAGGAGAATTTGACATCACTGATTCCATTCACTAACTTGAGGACAAAATGTAAAAAGCAAGTGACAAGCATACATTGAATTTTAAAACTTGAAGCTTTCCTAACTAGTTTTTCTAGGAGAGCTCTGACTTGCGAAGAGGGACTAGTTACACAGGGATAACTGATAAGGTTATTCATCCCTGCAGCCTACTCTTCCTGTGGTGCAAACTGATGTGTTTTAAGGAAAACCAAAATGAACAGCCTAGTATTTTTTAAAAAGGGGGATGCAGCCTCAGATCCACCACAGCTCAATAAAAGAATAAAAAAGAGTTTCAAGTAGCTTGGTTTCACTGCCTCTCTGTAAAGTGTTTCAGTCAGTGCTGCCTTGCTCCCGCTGCGTGAAAGGACCACACAGAGGACACTCATGAACTGATCATGCAAGAAACCCAAAATTAATAACCAGGGAATGGTGGTAAATCTGTAAGATAAAGCGACTGAAAAGAACAGTCCTCTCAGTCTTACCGACATCACCACCACAAGCAGGAACTAAGATCCTTCAGTATTCGAAACCAGAGTAGCTTAAATCCCCTGTTCGCCCACTTTTTTTTTTTTAAAAAGTGGGCAGTAACATTAGCAGCGATTTTCCTGCAGGATAATACCATTGAATAATAGCATTCAAACAAGGTCTGATTTATTTACAGAGTTTAACATCACCATTTATTATTAATTGAGCTGCATGTTCTTTTTCCATTTTGAACCCGCAGCTTCTTTATTATTCAAGAAAACCTCCAGTTTCTGTACACCCTTGTCAAAGCAAAAGCACTTCTCCTCCTCAAATTGAAATGCTCACCCTCCTGTTACTTCCATCCTTTCGCATCCTTTCCTTTACAAATTCTCTACACCGTTGCTCGTTGCCAGTGATATAAACTAAACTAACATCACATATGATTGCAGATAGTACGTATTAGGCTCGGGGACCTCTGAACACACAATGAAGTCCACCCACCTTTGAGCAGATTTCGTGTAGACTTGTGGCGATGGCTTTCGCGGGGGTGTCACATCGAAACACATGACATTTCAGAATTCTGGTGTCTTTGTCTCTCGCCACGTAAGCAAAGTCTCTGTGCAAACAAAACGAATCCACAAGTTAGAAACAAGCAAAGCACATGAAGGCATTAGAATGAGTAGTATCTCCAAAACGGCAAGTCCTACTTCAATTTAACAGCTTGTTAATTCTCAGCTGTAGAAGAAGGAAACACACGCCTCAGACGAAGCAGATGTACAAATGTAATAAACTGCACACCCGTGAAACACACACCTAAAGTTTGGTGCTTAATCTATGCAATTAAAGAGCTCACTGGTTTGCTAACCCTGGCAACCTACTGAACTTACAACCCATCATTCCAACTGCAATTGTAAATACATAGGAAAATTTACTCAAATATTTTATTTATTTTATTAAGATGAAGTGGGGAGAGAATTACAGACTAAGACAGAAAACACATGCAGGTCTTAAATCCTAAAAAAATCAGAAAGCAGACAAGACTCTAGTCAGAGAAAAATAGCGTTTCAAAAGATTGTATAAAGTGTTTAAAATATGCAGATAGTAATTAGAGATCTGGCTGCATAAGGGAGATGTGAACCTGCTGAGCTTCGCTCACACTAATTGGCCTAAATTTCTGACCTTATTTTTTCAAAAGTTAAATAAAGCTGCCCTACAAAAGAGATTCTTGCACCATACTAGTCAGTCACTACAACATAGTATAGGTTTTTATCACAGGAGATGGAAATGCCAGGATTATGTTTGTTTGTTCTCAGGCTGTTTAAGATTTGGAGCACTTCTGGAAAAGTCTAAGTGGGCTCATGGTGTAAAGAAAGCATCAGAGCTCGGATACATCCCAATTTTTTGGATACCAAGTTAAGGACTGCTCCTGTTCCAAGACCCCATCACCATGGTCCTATAGAGCTAATTTGCTTTCATGAGCTTCTTGGAACAAAGACATCCATTAACCCGTTCATGGGTGGGGACCTGAAGCTGGTTCTGCAGCAGGGGAGGTGTGTAAGGACGGCAGCCACACAAAGCCAGGCTTCTTCCCAACTCAGTTATCTTCTTGCTGCACCAGGCTCTCCACTGCTTGGTCTTGCACCTCTGCCTGTACATGTCCTCTGAGCAACCACAAGCCCAGTCCTACTTTGTGACCCTCCCACCATCTCCAGATTTCTGTGGGACTTAGTATCCCCAGCAGAGCTATGCTGAGTAGCTAAGGAGAATGAGACCAGACAAGGGAAGCTGAAGCTCCCAACAGCCTCTTATGGCTGAAGTCCCTTTTCAGTGCCTTTTCTCTTTACCTGTAACTAATTACAAGCAAGATCCTGACTGGTGAAGAGATAAGGAGGGATATCCCAGCTGGACAAAACCCCATATTTTCCCTCCCCTCCTAAACCCCAGGTTTTACATACATGAACACTTCAGTTTATCCTACAGACTAACTATGCTGAGCGGGGTTTAATGCAGCATGGATTCCCAATTTCTTCATTCATTGTAGATGCCCAGTGAATTGGAGAATTTTGTACTGAAGTTACCCAGGGAGAACCAGAGACTGATAACTAGACTTCCAGCTCTCTATGAGATACGAAGGTTGTCCTGCAGTTAAGTACCTTATCTGTATTTAATTTGGCAGCACGAGATTTTGTCATTAGTGAGCCCTTGCAATGAAAGGGGCAGTTGCTCCCACTCTGGGATGCTCAGTGACAGGCACGGGTTGTTCCTCTGTTCAACTGATTCACAACCTGAAGCCTGAGGAATAATACTTAAAAAAACCCTCAAAACCAAACTATGAGGAGTTGAGATTCAGAAGCAATTCCACAGGACAGAACGCTGCAGAAAATCGAGGAAGCTGGAGGGACCTCTCCATCTCACTGCACCCCAAGATGTGGTGGCACGCATTAGGGTACAGCAGAGACAGAAGATGCCCTGAGGTTTCCTAGCTCCGGCCTGACCCCCAAGCACCTCGGCCACAATCTGCAAGGAGAGCCTTTTAGCACGTTGTTCCCTTTTGCTGCACTGCAAGTTCATGGAGATGCCGAGTTCCAGCTGGAATCTTATTCCTGGAAAAAAGCTGATGCTTTTAGGCTCCTGTGCACATGTGCCAAGCCTTACTTTAGAAGGGTTTCCTCCTAGCTTAATGTTTCAAAAGCCAATTGAAGACTGCTAGCTGGACTCTAGTAATAAGACTAAGAGAAGGGGGTACAGCTCAGCTATGGCCTACAAAAAATTAGCAGTTCTGGGAAAAAAATGAAACCAAGCACCACATAAAAAACCTTTGAGATTTTTGCCTTTCGAAGTAAGCTTTCAACATTACTGATGCTCCTGAATGATCTGCAGAGCAGGTAGTTGGAAATGCTCAGGCTCACAAAAGTTCCACACGCAATAACCCGAAGCTCTGATGAGACCTTGACTGGTTTGAGAGCTTTAAATGAGGAACTTCCAGACATCCTAAGCGTTTGGCATTTTTGTTTTCTATGTGTTTGGCTTTAGCTGCCATCTTTTAAATACCCTAAGTTTCAGATTTCACATTTTTGAGTCCAAATACCTTCCCTTACAAATATTTTAACGGCAACATGAAAACATCGTTCACTTAACAGACAGGGATTTGCTACCACTTCCCCCTCTTCAGAGGCAAGAAAAGCTCGCGGGCAGTGCCCATCACCGCAGGGCAGCAAAGCTGCACCAACAGGCAGACTGCTGCGCACACCTCACCGCTGGATCAAGGTCTGCTCTCTCCCAGTGAAGACATAACAGCCAAAACCTGTGTTTGCGTTAACTTAAGCTAACATTGAAAGCCATCTCTGCGACCATTACGTGGCTATTTATTACCATTCACAAGCTTTTACCTCAAATCAATATTACTCCTTTGAGGACTGGTAATCATTCCTTTACAAGATGATTCTAGGAGGAGCATCCTGTGTTGTTTCACCAAATTGCCTGCACTGCGCAGAAGCCTGTTTGGATAAACAGAAATCTGCACAGCCCCAGGAGCACTGGACAATACCAGGATTTCTAATTATAAGACCACCACCTTCAAGGAGTTGCACAAGCACAGAAGACAACTTGCCCCTTCTGTTAGCCATACAGCTATCTGTTAGAACCTTCTTTTATTGCTAATCAAAACTAAGATGGGACAAAGCCACCAAAACAAGTCACTGGGGCTTGGAGGACTTAACACGTTGGCAGCAAAACCCATCTGTAGCAGCCCAAGAAATTGTGGTCTAACCTTTGGTCAGCAGCTCTGGCAATGCCCTGGGACATCACAACTGTCCCAATGAAACTACCACGCTTTGCTGTAGGAGACTGTGCCAGGCAGTGACCACTGCCCCACCAAGTCCCTGATGCATGGACAACCCCTGAGGCACATTAAATCTCACCCTGCAGAGAGCTCATCTGAAACCCAAGCTCAACTGCAAGGATTTCCAGCCTTAAGGGAACCTGGAAGATAATAGTAAATGTGTTTAGTCAGCACGTTATCTCCCACTGGAGGCAGGAATCAAAGGGCTGCAGAGATAAAAATGAGCCAAACAATTAAAACTGTGATAAACTAAAGACTGAATTCTGACAGGATCAAAGATTTTGGTCATAAAGGAATCAGGAATACAACTCATAATTATGCCCCGTAGGTGGGAAACACCTTAGATGAGAGTATTTCCAATGGCATTTTAAAGGCAGAGAGGTGGACTCGGGGTAGTCTGCTGAGTCTCATTTTTCTCACAAGCATAAATTTACTTTTCGGATCAAAGGCGACCAACGTGGAGGGCAGCACTGACATCTAACGAGCTTGCACACTCTTTAAGCAAGAACATTCCACCCTCATTGTAAAAAAAATCTGCCTTATATTTAGTCTGAATCTACCCTCGTTTTGTTTAAAACCATTACCCCTCATCCTGTTGCAATAGGCCCCGCTAAAAAGCCTGTCCCCATCTTTCCTGTAGGTCCCCTTTAGGTACTGGGAGGGGCTATAAGGTCTCCCTGGAGCCTTTTCTTCTCCAGGCTGAACAACCCCAACTCTCTCAGCCTGTCCTCACAGGAGAAGTGCTCCAGCCCTCTGAGCATCTCCGTGGCCTCCTCTGGACCTGCTTCAACAGCTCCATGTCCTTCCTGTGCTGAGGGCTCCAGAGCTGGATGCAGTGCTCCAGGTGGGGTCTCACCAGAGCAGAGTAGAGGGGCAGACTCGCCTCCCTTGTCCTGCTGGCCATGCTGCTCTTGCTGCAGCCCAGGATGCGGTTGGCTTTCTGGGCTATGAGGTGGCTCATGTCCAGTTTTTCATCCACCAGTACACCTAAGTCCTTCTTGGCAGGGCTGCTCTCAGTCCACTCATTGCCAGACTGTATCAATATCAGGGGTTCTTCTTGAAGAAAAGTTGATGCCTCTACTGTTTGCAGCAAGTCTCCAGATCATGGCCTGGAAAGCCCCAGAGGCTGCGAGAATGTCTCATCTTTGTCCTGTGAAATTCCACTTCAGTTGAGTCACCTTGAAGAAGTGCCAGGAAGTCACTTCCCACCCCTGGGGGTGTTGGTGGGTGCCAGGAAGGTGCTGCTGGGGGCAGCTGGCCCAGACCTCTGCTCAGCCAGCCCTGCAGTGGTGTACAGAACGCCTCCATCAGCCTCTCCGGCGCTCGGTCCTGCAGCTTCTGTGACTACTTCTGCTTGCAAGGCAGGTGTTCATCAACAAGGCAGTAGAGCACAATTTCAGGAGAAAACGAAACACCAGCCAGTACATCAATTTCAACTACTGAGAGCTAATAACACCCTCGCGGAGGTGTTTCAGACACACACCAGCGTTCCACTTTAAGTACCTGAACAGCTGGAACAAAGTAAATCGTCTAATTACATGCATGGATCGTGAATATGCATAAACTTTTAGACGATCAGGGCCTGCATCTGTAAATCTGCTGAGGCAGAGGAGGAAATCTGAGTTCTTCAAAACCTGTGGTACTGCATCACGCGTAACCCTGCCAGCACCATCTGTTTTCAAACCATCAATCCAAATGAGCAGGAGAACCTCCCCTCTCCCTCCTGACACTGCGCAAACAGTACTACTGATTTCATTAATTCATGAAGCCACCTA